ACCGCACGCGGCGGACACGGCTCCGTTCGAGGTCGCGAAGGATGCGGCACCGACCGCACCGGATGCTTCGCTCGACCACACCACAGCAGACACGGCACTGAAGGACGCGGCTCCGATAGAGGCCGCGCAGGACGAGACAACGATGCGCGCCTCTGCTCTCCGGGCCCCGGACTAGGGAACGAACGCCACCGACTACGATTTATTCAGAGCCTCACAGGTCTCCACACCCCGTTCAGAGCCTCGCCCGCCGGCCAGAGAGCCCACTCCGGAGCCACACCCGCGCTGCAACCCGAGGAGCAGGAATTTGCTGCAACTTCAAGCTGGCATGGAGATCGTCAGGGCACCGGCCACCTCTGCGCTGCTCCATCAGTTCGACGCGGCGGCGGCAACGCAGGGCAGGCAAGCACCTGATGCCATCGCCGGGCCGTCTGCATCACCAACCCCTCAGGCAGCAGCTAACAACTGCTTACGTTTCCGCCCTGGTTGCGTTTATCGCAGAAGAGACAGGGAGGCACCAACGGGGCTGGACGTCGCGGCTCCTGCTCCCCCTCAACCGGCCATGGAAGCAGAGGCCGCCAGCTTCATGGAATGTTTGCTGCAGGTTCAGGAACAGCCACTGCTGCAGGCTCCTCCCCAGGCACAGCGCGCCCCAGCGCGTCGAGGCAAGAAGCAACCACCACCACCAAGGCGCAAGAGCGCACGCATCGCGGCATTATCATGGCCCAAAGGTGACACACGGACCAAAGCCTGCTACATCCTCATGAAGCGCCTTGGGATCGTGCAAGACGACGGACAATCCTCAGATGACCTCCTGCTGCGCTACTTCTCCCTCTTTAGGGGACCGCTGACCGCCATGGTGATTAAGGCCCTCACGGCGCTATGCGGCCTGGAGGACTCCGCGGCCGCCTGACTGCACCGGACCTGGGGCTCATCTCTAACTTTTATCAGAGAAACTGTAGAATTCTGAACTGGAATGTGCGGGGGCTGAATGATGGTGCGAGGCGCGACTCTGTCAGTGAGCGCGTCCGCGACACCGGCTCTACTATAAGCTGTTTGCAAGAGACAAAACTTCAGGTGATTGATGACAATGTGGTAAGGCGCACCTTGAGCCAGCACTTTGTGAATAACTATGCTGTCTTGCCGGCCGTCCAAACCAGAGGAGGGATACTGCTTGCTGTGGCTGAAAGCTTCTTTGCCCTTTCTAATATACACCTCACCACACATGCTATCACGGCAACGGTCTCCATGAGAGCTGATGACACAAAATGGCAAATTACGGTGGTATATGGGCCGCAGGGGGATAATGCAAAGCTCCAATTTCTACAGGAACTAAAGAACATTCCATGTCCGGACCACGGGAGATGGCTAATCCTTGGAGACTTCAACTTCATTTATCAAGCCGAGGATAAAAACAACACAAACCTCAACAGGCGCTTGATGGGGTCCTTCAAAGCAGCGATCGACACCTTGCTCCTAAAGGAGATTCGTCTGAACGGGCGGCGCTTTACCTGGAGCAATGAGCAAGACACGCCAACTCTCACCAGGATAGTTAGGCTCTTTTGCACAACTGAATGGGAGCTGCTATTCCCATCTTGCTTCTTACACTCGCTGCCATCTCTTATGTCAGACCACACACCTCTTCTCTTACAGGGGGAGATGCAGCATCATCATAATGCGTGCTTTCGCTTTGAAAATTTCTACACAAAAATGGAGGGGTTCCAGGAGTTAGTTAATGACATCTGGAACAAACCCGTCAAGCGTCGTCACAACCTCTCAAACGGCTACACATTAAATTATCCCGGGTGCATTAAAGGGCATCAAACGGTGGCGAAAAGAGAAAATAGGTGATACAAGGCTGCAGCTAGCAATAGTAAAAGAAATCCTTCTACAACTTGAGGCTGCACAGGGGTTCAGAAACCTCTCTCAGGAGGAACTGCAGCTCAGGCAACAGCTAAAAATTAAGTAGCATGGGCCTTGCAGCAATAGAGAAATCGAGAATCAGGCAAAAATCCTTACCGCACCAACATTAAATCGCGACGCCAACACCAAACTGTTCCACATTTGTGCGAGTTCAAGAGCCGGAAAAATTACATCCGAAGGCTCGCAAAGTGACAATGGAATCGCCCTCATGCACGAAGACAAAGAGGAGGTAATCGGCGACTACTTCTAGAACCACCTAGGCACCATGGTCCCGAGACCAGGTACCTTCTTGTGGTCCACTCTTGGGTACAACCCTCACGACCTCTCGGAGCTGGAAGCCCCCTTCACCCAAGATAAGATCAAGGAAACCATCCACTCCATGCTAGGAGACAAGGCTCCGGGCCCGGATGGTTTCACTGGGGCATTTTTCAAATCATGCTGGGAAATCGTCAAGTCCAATGTAGCGGCGACTATCAATGCTCTCTTCGAGATGAATTCACAGGGCTTCGACCTTCTTAACTCAGCCAACATCATCCTCCCCCCAAAGAAGTCTAATGCAAGGCAGGTTACAGACTACAAACCTATTAGCCTGATCCCACAGTATTGCCACTCTTTTCCAAACTCCTTGCAAACATGCTGGCACCGTTGCTAGACTCCCTAGTGTCAAAATGTCAGAGTGCCTTCATAAAAAAGAAGAAGCATACATGATAACTTCCTCTACATCCAGAACATTGTGAAGCGCCTGCACAGGTCCAAAACCCCGGCACTTTTTATGAAGCTCGACATCCAGAAAGCTTTCGACACGGTCAACTGGAGCTACTTACTTGAGGTGCTACAAACTCTCGGGTTTGGGCCTCGCTGACGTGAATGGGTCTCCATTTTATTCCGCACAGCAGCCTCCAGAGCCCTGCTAAATGTTGTGCTTGGAGGAAAATTCCGCCACGCCAGAGGAGTGCGCCAGGGTGATCCGCTATCACCTATGCTCTTCATCTTAGCCATGGACCCATTGCAACGATTGTTGGACCTTGCCACCAGCCACAACGTCCTCACGCAGCTACCTCTTGTTGCGGCAAAGTGGAGAACGTCCATATATGCTGATGATGCGGCAATCTTCGTAAACCCAAAAAAAAGAGGACATCGACACCGCCAAGATCATTCTCGAGGCATTCGGGAAGGTGTCGGGACTGTGCATAAACATGGATAAAAGCTCCGTCCACCTAATTAGATGCGAAGATATCGACCTTGATCATGTTCTCTTGGCCTTTTCGGGGACCAGGGCCACTGCGTAAAGTACACGTGCAGCCCCTCATAGAGCGAATCGGCCCGAGGTTACCGGGTTGGAAAGGCAAGTTGCTAAACAAAGCAAGACGCTTAACGATGGTCACCTCAGTCCTATCGTCTATGCCTACTTACCACCTCTTGTCTTTCCCACTTGCGGGCTGGACCAAAAAAGCAGATTGACCGAATCTGCGGGCCATTCCTTTGGAAGGCGAAGAGAATGCAAATGGAGGTCACTGCCTCGTCAACTGGCCGATAGTGTCAAAACCAAAAGAGCTTGGTAGCCTTGGGGTCCCAGACTTGGAGAAATTTGGGAGAGCGCTGTGGTTGCGTTGGCTGTGGCAGGACTGGACAGATCCCACCAAGCCTTGAACTGCTATGGACTTGCCTTGTAAACCAACGAACAGACTCCTCTTCAATGCCTCAACCATCGCCACAGTCGGGGACGGTACGTAAGCACAATTTTGGCATCATAGTTGGCTGGACGGTGAAGCTCCCAAAAACCTCACACCACACCTCTTCGAACTTGTCAAGAGGAAAAAACAGAACGGTCCAGTAAGAGCTCCATAATAACAGTTGGATTCGCTTGCTCAGAGGCAAGATCACAACATCCACTCACTTAGAGGAATTTGTCTCACTGTGGCTCAGGGTACAGAACATCCAACTGCAACCTGGAATACAGGACTCCATTGTTTGGAAGTGGTCACCAGATGGCATTTACTCGACCCGATCGGCATACCGCATACAATTCCATGGAACCTACCGCAGATTCCGCCCGGATCTTATTTGGAAGGCACATACCGAAAACAAATGCAAAGTCTTCGCTTGGATTCTCATACAAAACAAGATCCTAACGGCAGACAACTTACAGCTAAGAAACTGGCCACACCAAGACCATTGTGTGTTGTGCAATGGACCACTAGAAACAGCCCTTCACTTGTTCCTGTTGTGCCCTATAGCCATAGAAGTCTAGCGCCTTGTGCTGGGGTGGGAACACTTCGATGTGGACTTAATTTGGCCTCATGTGCAGCCATCTAACATAAGGGAATGGTGGGAAGAGGGCCAAGATCCCAAGGCAGAGATGAAGACACTTCAATGGTGTGGTCATCTACACAATGTGGAACATATGGAAGGAAAGAAACAGAAGGATTTTTCAAAATTTGATGATAGATGCCCGGCAGGTGGCCTCCAAAACCAAAGAGGACATCGACCTACGCTCTAGGGTCTTTAACAATCTGACTTAGACCTCGTAGCTTATCCCCCAGGACGTGTGTGGTGGTTCTTGTGCCGATGGTACTTTCTGTACACAAACTCTCTTTCTTTCCTTAATTGAGAGGCAGCGCTCCTGCCAGGTTCTTTCATTTTTTTTGAACATTGTCATGTTTGCTGTTGCCAGTAGGTTGTGTAGAAAAAGTACTCACGTAAATGTTTCACTTCCATTTTAACTTGTGTTATGTTCTCATGGACTCCCATTAATTTAATCTCCTACATGCCTGCCCCTGCATCTCCATTATTATATTGGGAGGAACCTATTTTCTATACAATTTGACCAAATAAATTTATGTTTCCTATATTATGTCTGTTGAACCGCTAGCAGTATTCATTGTAACAGAACCGCCCAATTTATACAAGATCAAGTACGGCTGTCCCCGCTAACACGTTGACACACACACATACTTTCACTCATATAAACCCGGTAGTCCGCCGAGTGTCCCAAAAGACCTCGGTAAATCAACATCACAACCAAGATCGCGTGATTATGCAAATACACATCACATACGCAGGGTTGCAGCGAAAAATAATATTACAAATGAATTCACAAATAATAGTACAAGTTTGGGTTTCAAAACCGATTAGTGAAAACAACATAGCTTTCAAAAGATTACATTAATATATGTTCCAAATACATTGCTAGCATAAGTGACATCATCCGACAAAAGCATATAGATGAGAAGTAACTATAGAATCACCGAGCCCATCGGCGGTTAGCCACCATCTTCAACAGGCCGAGAACTTCACCTGCAACATGGTGGGATAAACCCTGAGTACTCGAATGTACTCAGCCAGACTTACCCGTCGGAAACCAAAACAAATGACACCAAGGGTCATGCAAGGCTTATGAGGTGGGCTAGCTTGACACAGTTGCATAAAAGAGCTTATGAATATAGTGACCAATTTAAACTTAGCATCAAGCTTATCATCATTTACCTGTCCACTAGATTAGCACCTGTACTAGAGCACTCACTTATTAGGAGCAATCAATATTAACCATAGCAGGTATAATAAGGCTGTCATCGTCATATCATCATTTCTGAACCATTATGTTATTTAGTGTATCTACTTTGGAGATAAGCCCGTCAAGTTCTCACTAACCGGGAGAGACGACGACTCGAATCGAATTACAACTCAGCTGAGGGGGTATTCCTAACTCTCACCCTGGCATACTTTGCAAGGGTAGCCGTGGGTCACCTTTGGGACAACTCAGGAACCAAATTAAGTGGGTTCGATCGGCGCAGATACTCTCGGGGATTACCCTTCCGCCAGACGATCAAGACTTTTAAATCACCCGCCCTTGGACTCACGCCACGGCTCTCTTCCGAGGCGTATTTTTATACTTATCGACTCCGCCACGAGGTGAGCTACTCGGCTTTGTGGTCGGTCTCCGGACCCGCCAACTAAGAGAGAGGCATCGTTCAACATGAACAGGAAAGGCTCCAAGATTCAGTCCTTAAACGACATGAGGCGGAGATCCATCGCAAACCGGCAAGCCTCCGTCCGGTCTTCATTTCAAATTAAGACTGGTTTCTTTCCACGATAGCAAATATAGCCAACCGTGCCATATGTATATTCCTATATCTCGCGGTGACATGGAAATCACCGACTTCTACCGCTTTTAAGGTGGCTAAGCACTACACGAGCTTTGAGCTACATAGGATTCTGTGGTATCAATATCTCGGACAAGGATTGGATAACCAATGCAAGCAAGTGTTTGCATCCAACACCTAAACTTAATGCAACAATATATATATATGTAATAATAATACTTTAACTGCATTTTGGAAATTATGAGGCTTAATATGCTCCGGGGCTTGCCTGAGATCCGACACAAGTCAGTTCAGTTAGGTTGCACCGTTCTGGTGATATCTCAGGTCCTAGCACTTGCTTAGTCCTTCCATCTTCGGGATAGATCCATCAAACCAAATCTTCGGGTTTGGCTCCAACATCGCATCCTTCACGTGGTGCATCTAGCGTACCTAGATGAGATGCAATATACAAGTGCATAAATATGAAGAATAGTACCATGAGACGCATCACAAAATAGCAAGCAAGACAAGCATAGTTTACACTAACACACTTAAGTACTTTGCGATGCTTAACTTAAACATCACACAATCTATCATGCTAAGATGGCAAAGAAGACGACAACACCAAGCATGACACAAGTTTCCCAAGATCTCAGGTGCTCTAACTCAGTCATCCTTCAAGGCATAAGTCACACTTAACAATATACAAGCAAACACTATAATTGGAATCTACCAATTTCTGAATGCAAACAGCAGCTACAAGATTTAGCTATAACTGGAGTTACACAATTCCAAATGACTTGCAAGAAGACATTTTGGAAATCTTATGAAATTATCTACATTTCA